CAAAACATTCTTTAAAATATATTGTAGAGTAAGATAAATGTTTAATTTTACCATTAATTTACAAATTATTAACGTTTAATCCGACTATAGTCACGTACTTTACTGAAGTAAGGTACTATATTTCTAGGTGGAAAATGCTTGTACTGTGTTATTATTGTAGGGATACGATGGGGACTTTTTATTAAAACCGCCAATTATCTGTTGAATCAACTAGTCGAACTGTGTTCACCCTAAAGGGTAATTCGGTGGGCGTAAGTACGCGAGACAATATTACATAAATACAAGATATCAAGTCTATTAATTTGGGTAGAGTAATTTTGTAATTTTTTTTTTTCAATGTACACAGGCGCCACGAATGTTGCTGGGACAATTTTCGGCGACGGCCCTAGTATTTTTCATTTAAACGATATAGAATTTGCCAATGGTGGTAAAAAAAACATTAGGAACCATGTATTTAGACCAATATCGTCTATGAACAGTCGTTAATTTTTAAAGGAATGTACACACGAGCAAAACACTGATATTATTGCTGTTCAAAAGACGATATATTGTCTAATTACGATCCAACAAACGTCCACGATATCCTATCGATTGCAAAATCCATGTACAAGATAACAGTATGGAAAAAAGTGAAAAATAATAAAAAGTCGCAATCTAACTCAATAGTTTTATCTTTAATAAATTCATAAAAACATCGATATCAGCATAATAAATTACAATAAAAATTCTTCAGTAATAAAGAACTACAACCTTAGGTAAATACGTTAACACCCTAGTATAGGTCATATCGTTGGAATTTATATTGAATTCGCGATTTTTTTTTCATTTATGATACCCTTCTATGTTCTATTGATATATAGAAAGGGTACCTATGATATCTTTTCTATATATCAACTCACCTCATTTCACTAATTCAACATCATCTTTATTCGTACACTGCCTAAACCATTAATACTTCTCTCGTTTATAACGAGGACATATTTTTTTATTTAACGCTATTTTCTCATAGTACACTTTTTCACAATTAATATATATATGAATCAATATATTCTACGTATCATCAACGGTCAAAATCTTATGAACCTAAATTTCACGATAGTGTAATAAAATGCTCTCGTGCAATTCATTCGATTGATGTCTGCGACGATTCACATCAAAGTGGCATTAAGGGAAGTGTAACTATCAAGTAAGTGGTTACCAAAAAAAAAAAAAAAAAACACACCACTATTCATTATTATATCAAATTATTATTAGTGCGGATCGGACTGTGCATCGTCGTGTCTTTGTGTAATACATTTGGCTTACGAAAATTATACGTTATACTTACACTACCCGTCGGTGAACGCCCCTCAAATACACTCGTATCCAAAAAACGCACCAGCACCCTATCGTTATTACCGTAATGAATTGACATACACGTTCTACGTGATTTCAAATGTTTGTCTCATACGGACCACATGATAATAAATATAGATTTATATGAAACATACGATTAACCCGCACAAAATATGAATTGACTACTCCTTCTATGTTTTTATTGTAACAATATGCGACGAAAATATTTTTAAATCATTCTATTTATGATATATGAATTTTTTCCACACTTAATATCTAAATTTATAGATAAATTTGTACTCACTCTCGTGTGTTTTCATGTGTGCTCTGAGATTGCAGGCAAGCGCGAATTTCTTGTGGCATAGTTCACAAGCATGTGGTTTGTCTCCTAAAATCAAAAATAAATTGAAGGTCAGACATCAAAACATACTAATCTTTACATAATTATTATATAGTGACGTAATTTTATAAGTATTATGATGACTGTCCTCGACAGAAGTATGCAAATAGTTGAATATACGAGATAACCAACGTAGTCAAAAAGATAATTTCTCAGTTTAGTAATATCCAACTAATGAATAAAAGAGTGAATAATTTGTCTTCATTTAGAAGTGGGGAAGATGATGAAGGTTTATATATATGATAGAAGGAATATATTTGCCTTGAGGATTATACTAACTACGTAGTAAACCTGTGCAGGATTTGCACGTCGCGAGATGATTTTAATTAGACATCACATTGTTCAATTCAAACGTCACTGACGATTTCCATAATAAGGTAATTCCAATTGCAAAGAAATTTCTGCAGCCCTCTACTTATGGTCTTTTCTGTAGTCAGATTATTTTTCCATCACAACAACGTCTTGAATAGCACTTAACTATAGCCTATATATATACAATCCGATCACAATAATATGCTGCTACCAGGACCTTTAAACGTTTAATTCAAAGTTCAATATATAACAGACTCTTACGATCTTATAGTTATTTTAATGGATCAAAGATTGGAATAGAAATCTCCGAATAACTTCTATACGATACATGAACATTCTACATCTCACGCAAAACAGAATATATGAATTTATATATATATATGAATTTGTATCTTGGAGCATTGTCTGAAAGTCAATGACAAATTCCACAAATAAAATTGCACTTAAAAAAGTTCTCACNCACATTCTACATCTCACGCAAAACAGAATATATGAATTTGTATCTTGGAGCATTGTCTGAAAGTCAATGACAAATTCCACAAATAAAATTGCACTTAAAAAAGTTCTCACATAAGTATATCAAGTATTTTATCTTCAATATGCCAGGTAGATTTCATTCATTAAAATAAAGTATTTAGATATTATTGTCAATAAGAATAATAACACATATATATTACAAAACGGAATAATTATTATTTGTTGTATATCAGTAATCGAGGTAAAACATTTCTCTACTAAGAATAAAAGTAAGAAAAAACAAGAACAGGTCAAATCGCCAGTGTATCTAAATTACGATAATTATTATTCTAAAGAAAACGGGTTTTACTCTAAACTGTATCTGTCCAGTTTCCCATGCAGACACCTTCAACTACATAATTTGTAGCTGGCTACTAGAAATCGTGTAGATCCAGTAGCCATACGGGATTTCATTTAATCCAGAATGCATATTAAAACGCACAATATTATATTTTCTTGGGTTTTCCGTGGCAAAATAGTTTCATTATAATAATTTAATAGAGTTTGGTGAGATAAAAAATTGTTAATTAATAATGAAAACCAAAATTAATTATATTCGACTTTTATATTACTAATGCATATAATAAAAACCATACTTATTTCTTGTAAATGTTAAATGAACGTTATTACTAAAACATAACATAGCTTAAATTTCCCAAAAATTCATTATAGCACCTCTTCAAAAAAAATTATAATTAGCGTTAGTATAAACCCAAAAAGTTGATGTTAGGGTTAGGGTCATTTTAAATATTGACTATTAAAACTCTTATCAGATTATAAAAGACAGGTGCTAGAAAAATACCACGTGCCACCTGCATAAATAATAACATTTTAGCCAGTTTAGTGAAACTTGTGTAATGTTTGGATTCAAATGAATTAATTATTCAAACTAGCTGTCAAAAATTGATTTGGTATTATATTTTTATAGAATTTGTAACACTTAAAAACATAATCCATATAATTTTTTTTTCACTTATTTTGACAAATATATTTTGTTACATGATTGGGCATTGAGTAAAAATATTGTGCCTGGATCAGTAAGTGTATAAACATTCCATAAGGCGTAACACGGATAAATAATTTAAATAATTACCCGGGTTTTTCTTGGATCGTGTCACGTAAATCAGTCCAGCCAATAATCTACCGGGTGTACGTTGTAATATGCGTATATGGGATGCAGGACAGATATAAGCGGTAGATAAGTGTGGTGCACGACCGTGTTTATGTTAATGAACCGCCAGCAATTACAAGTTAATTTACTCACGGAACTCCAGCGATTGATACATACTTATATATACGTACTAACCTATATACATTATATAATAGAAGTTTATTTTTCCTTTTCTTCAACCACCGCCATAGAGCGTTGCTCTTGTTATGCCTCGTTTATATCTACTGAAAAAAAACACGGAGAGAAGACATTACTTTTTCAACCTTCTCTTTATTACGTTTATTAACCTCTCTGTCTCTCCTTTCGTGCTCACTTGTATTTTTACCGCCCTATTCTCTTCTTGATGCTTTCTACTTGCACGAGATACTCTGGACCGATACTCACCCAACACATTATTATTACATCGCCGTTCATATGTATACGCAGTAGCATATTTACAGAAGTCTCATAAATCCATCTTCGGTTCGGTTAAGTTTTGGACGCACGAACGCGTGATAGCTTCATGAAACGGTAGTCTTTGTTAAAAAAAAAAATTGTAATACGAACCGAATGACCAGTTTATGGGTCGGTTTGTTATAGAGACGCTTGTCAAAGTTTGGTACAGATTTATAATTTCCGATCATTGAGATATTTGGTAAACCTTACGTATAATAATATTGCGTCATCGCATAAAATGCTATTAAACTCAGTAATGAAAAAATTATGTTGCGTCCTAAAAATGGAATATAGAACCATAAAATATGTGTTTTAAAAAATATCTTTGAAGGACTCATATTGAATATTGATTATACGGCCAGTGGAGTGTGACGCGTATCATCTGTCGAATGCACCCAACCATATTGTCCAGTGCAGTGTTTACCACCAAAGACCTTTATTAAATTATGGCTCACAGTTTTCCATAATTCCGGAATTAAGAACCGGTTTTCCGTGCAGACGATCCGTATCGTCGACAAAATAATTAAACATACCATGAGGAGTATCGAAACCTATATGACTAAGACGGAACACGTCGACTGCATGTACAAATGACACATGACAAATGACTTGGTCAATACAGAAGAAAAAATAACTTCCACGATAGAAAAAGAATGAACCGGTCTAGACATTGTAATGTTATACTGCTCAGTGATATTTTCGGTGTTTTTTTTTTTTATTTATATTTGAAATTAATTTGAACACGCCGAGAGATCACGTGCGTAACTTACAGAAATTAATAGTTAATTGTCCTTGGGACAATTTTGACGGGTTTAGGTGTCAATTTGAAAAAACTTAAAAAATGAAGTTCTTCCAGTATGTTACTCGGTATATATTCAGCTTGCTTGATTAGATAATAGGATATGTTATGAATTATTTATAGTAAAAATGTTTTTTCTATAAAATAAACTGATTATGTTTGGCTTGTATTTTGTCTCTAGTATTATAGATACCAATATTTAAATTTCTTTTGCACATTACTACTTGTTACTAACAAAATAATAAGCGAAAATAAACAAGAATATTTAAACCAAATCACTTTTCAAAATGTTTCAATTAAAAAACGATTTCTATAATTTTTAATCAGGCTCATCTGATTAAAATATAATATCACTGAAAATGTTCATGAGGAATAATAAAAAGGAACGTGTGAATAAATAAAAACATTGAATGTGACAAGTGAACTTATTATTTTTTTTTTGAATTTCATTCTAAGTTAATTTTGGAAAAAAAGTTCTGATACTAAGTGGAAACGGTAAAATATTGAGCACGAAATGCTCTATTTCTTAGCAAAGATTTCAATGCAACATTGTTACGAATATTTTCTCGAGAAATAATTGGCATTACCATTCACTCCATTAATCAATCAATTCTCTTAGAATGATCGCATCGCAATTTTTTTTTTCCATTTTTACCACATAGGATAATTGGTAAAACTTTAAAATGTTTATTTTTCATTGGTTATAAAATTGTGAGCATTGCTCAATAGTACAATTCCAATTCCAAAAACTATTGTTTTTTAGAAATTGATATGAAACAAAAAACCCATAAATATTCAAAAACAGGTTAGGCAGGTGGTTTACTATATTACATTTACTGTTTTGTTTTTTCAATGTTGAATTTATTTGATTTCAGTTTTATATGTTTTAATGAAATATTTAAAAAACAATAATTCGAAAGTAGTTCATAAAATCTATATGAATAATGAAAAAAATCAAGTTTACAAAACAAAATAATACAGCCAACACTCAGTTGGAGTCGATATAATTATTGTTTACCTTTTCTAATCGATCAATGAAACTTAAAATATCGCGTGTCATGTTGGGTTAGAAAACTTTGCGTGTGTACTTCTTGAATGGAATAATGAACAGAATCTTTGTAATCAATTGAAAAGTAACCGATCGTTTATCATTTAGTTTTAGATTAATGGGTCGTTGGATGACACATAAAAAAAATAATAATAAAGTTGTTGCTGTTGTAAGTGAAAAAATATAATTGTAAGAACTTGGATACAAAAAAAAAAGAAACATAAGATTTAATAATGCGTACTTATAATTGCGATCAGTTTTTGAGCAATCATTGCGTACTTTTTATGTATATATATATAGACATCGCGACGGCCGTTCTAGTTGCTGGCATAATTGTTAGTCATTTCATAACGTCTTAATGAGTAAATAATACGAATGGGTGGTCGGACTAAGCGGTAATATTTCTGAAGACTTTAACGACCAGGAAGTACAGAGTTTTGTGTAACTATGAAAAAATAGTACATTTCTCTCGACGAGGCGTATCGCTGTTAATGACGAGCTCGATCGTATCCTATCAGTGCCGGTCGTATAAAATAATTTGTAAGATAGAATAGCCTCACTCAGTCGATCTCAACGACATGATAATAAAACAGTTGTCATTATCGAATAAATTGCACGTATACAGTTGTACTTAGACAATGATGAATTACGTTCTTTCTTAGTTTTATATATCACAAAAAAATACATTATTATTTCTGAGTTGACTC